GAAATCAAGCCGTTTGCTTGTGAAATAAAACAATGAAAAAATTCAATACCACAAAATGACGTCTTTTACATAACATTAGAAATATTGACTGTAGAAAAATGAGATAAAACATGATATGATTTGTACAATGATTTTTGAAAAATGAAAGACATAATTGATGAAAATAGATTAATCATACCTTGATACATGATAAAATAACATATTTGGAGAAAATGCAGTAAATATATTTTATCGGAGAAATATTGCTCATTAACTACAATAGAATTTGCAAAAGAATTTAACGAGCATAAGTTGATAAATATATATGCATAAATTGGCTATATCAGAAAATAAATTGGAATATAATTTAATTTAAGTAAAACTCTGCTTTGAAAAGTTCAGAGAGTTTAACTTAAGAGTCTTAAAAATAAAAACCGAACTCACTGAGATTGAGATGTTTCCCCGATGATCTCCCTCAGTAGACGGAGCACTTCTTCATTTTTGAGCAATTCCTGTAATTCTTTGATTAATGACACTAATCGGCGAGCAAGTTTAGGCGTCGAATTTGAGATAATATAAATATAGACACATAGCTGCCAACTTGTACAGTCGTTGAGAAAATTTTCTTAGTGGTATCAATATCATAGCGTTTTGACGTATTAAATAATCAACTTAAACTTTCAAGAAGAAAAAACAAATTAGACCTACAATGACAAATCAGTGTTTAAAAAATATGATGATTCCAACGTTGATTTACTACCACTTTGTATAATCTTTTAGCGACTGTACAAATTGACATGTATGTAAACAGTTTAATTAGGAATTTTGCACCTATGATAAAGTATTTTAATATATTTTGATTTTCTTGGTGTAATTTCGTCCTAGTGTTTTGATTTTATTGGGCACCTGGGCAGCGAAGCGACCCTCCTATAATTTCGTAAACCTTCATCTATCATAATCATTGATTTATTTATATATGGTGTTGGTAAAAACCGTTGTTAACTAAATTTATAGTTCCAAAAAAGAAATAGTAAGTTTAAATTTCGAAAATTATAGATACCAAACAACATATACTCTCTGCAAAAATGTTTTCTCCCATTTGTGGATAAATTCCAATTCAATCAAGATTGTAAGTTGATGTAACCTTAAACGAATAGAATTCTGATGTCTCCTATGAGTCACCATCATATATGGCACTACTTTTACTTTCGTTACTTGAATCGCCGGTATAGGTAAAAAGTACGTACTTTTACTTGTACTTCGTTACTTTTTAAATTTAGTACTTTTATTTGTACTTTAGTTCAAAAGTAGAAACGGAAAGCATATCAATTTCGATTTCTTAGAAATGTACTTTTAAATCATTGCTTTTTTTGTTTAGTACTTGTACTTTTACTTGTACTTTTTACTCGTTACTTTTAAAATAAGAACTTTTTACTCCTTACTTTTCTAAAAAATACTTGTACTTTTACTCGTAACTTTTCTAAAAAATACTTGTACATTTACTCGTTACTTTTTAAAAGTAACGTTGCCATATATGATCATCACTGATATAGTTAAAATGTTGCAGAAAGCCTTCGTTAATATCAAATGTAAAATTATTTTCGTCGCCCCAACTTTGCTTCAAACTTAACTGTAAACAAAAATATTATTAAAATTTAGTGGCAGTCAAAAGTTATCTTGAACCTGCAAAATAAATTCTTATTCTGAAACACATATGCTATATACATTTTCTTTTTTTTTTAATAAAAAAAGTAAAAGAGAACGTTCTTTTAACCGAATTGGACTTCAATGTCTTTTTAAAATCAATGTCATTGGTGAGCAAGAAATTCTTTTTTGGAAGGAAGTAGCGCGTGTAACCGATGATCGTTTAAAAAAGCGAAACTGTAAATAATCCAGATAATATAAATATAGACACATAGCTGCCAACTAGTACAGTCGTTGAGAAAATTTTCTTAGTGGTATCAACATTATAGCGTTTTGACGTATTAAATAATCAACTTAAACTTTCAAGAAGAAAAAAAAATTAGACCTACAATGACAAATCAATGTTTAAGAAATAAGAAGATTCAATCGTTGATTTACTACCACTTTGTATAATCTTTCAGCGACTGTACAAATTGGCATGTATGTAAACAGTTTTATTAGGAAATTTGCACCTATGATAAAGTATTTTAATATATTTTGATTTTCTTGTTGTAATTTCGTCCTACTGCTTTGATTTTATTGGGCACCTGGTCAAGGTAGCGACCCTCTTATAATTCCGTAAACCTTCATCTATCATATTCATTGATTTATTTATATATGGTGTTGGTAAAAACAGTTGTTAACTAAATTTATAGTTCCAAAAAAGAAATAGTAAGAAAAAATTTCGAAAATTATAGATACCAAACAACATATACTCTCTGCAAAAATGTTTTTTCCCATTTGTGGATAAATTCCAACTCAATCGAGATTGTAAGTTCATGTAACCTTAAACGAATAAAATTCCGATGTCTCCTATGAATCATCATCAACAGTCACCACTATAAAGTTGAAAATTTTCTTATTCCTTAATAATTAGTAACTACATTATTTTAAGAATTTAATATATATATATAAAGGGTATTATATTTTTTTAGAGTTTCTTTTAGTTCAAAATAATTAATTGAAATGCAAAGGGACATAATCTAACCAACACTTAAAAACAGGCTTCTTGAATATATGTTTAAATTATTTAAATATAATGATAATTCAAATCATTTCAATCAGCATTTATCTAAACAAGAATAAAGAGTGAAAATTTAAATTTAGCTTCTATACAATGTATGAAAATAAAATCTTCCGGAAAATAAAGAAAAGTTCAGAATTGGCAGGTATGATGCTAAATAACATTAAAAACAGGATTTACTTGAAATGCGTATAAGTTGACATTAAATTGCTGTTAGAATTACAAATGCAAAGGAAACAAAAGATTATATTAACAATAACTACAATTTGAATCCATAATACCTCGTGAAATATATTCGGTTATGAAAGATTATGAAATGAAGCTCATGGTCCACAAAGTGCTAAAAATGCAAAAAATAGTATAACAACACACACACACACACACACACACGCACGCACACACACACACATATACANATTAAAAATAATATATATTATTATAGATATAATAAAATAAATACAATATACATACACACACACACACACACACACATATATATATATATATATATACATATACTAGAGGGCTCTGCCCCCTGCTCGCTACCTCCCGCCAACCTCCCATAATTACTACGCAATTGCATTTTTGGTCGCTTCGCGAACGAACTTAAAGTCGAAGATGTCGAAGATGAATACTTAAAGAAAGATGAAAAAACTATAAAATATGGCAAACAAATTAAGATGTGTAATGTTAATAAATTGATGCTAAGTAATATTTCAAAAGCAAATACCATTGCAAGTAATTGCCCAATTAACTTCAATACTGTTCAATACTGATATTTTAGTTTCTATCAGACAAAAAGCAAATTTCATAATAAAAACATATGTAACTGAAATTCGACAAATTAAATTAAGCAATTAAATTTTTTGGGTAGACTATATTTGAGGGTGCCTCTTGATTCTCGTCAAGTTATGATCGCGGTTGATCGCCAAGCTGGGTGATGTTGAAAGCCAATCGTGATTCTGATTGGTTTAGATTTTAGCGTTATTCTTAAATGTTCAACAATATATGCAATCTCAGAGGTTCTTTAGTTCTACGTTGGATACCGGCTGGTAAGGTTACTTTTGCTTCTGGTCAATAAGATCGAAGGTATGTGGGCAATCATAAAAAGGGACTTGTCACCAATCATAAAAAATTGTCACCACCAGTCCGGTACCACAAACACCTTTTTCGATTCGTATTTCGCCGAAGTTATGTGGCGTGGAGGTACTCATGATAAATGTCTACTCTATTCATAATAAATTTAGACAGTATCAAACTGTCATTAGAGAATCCTGTGCACCTAAATCTGCGGATATTCAAGCTTAATGAAGAAGTGAGTTGTTTTTTTCCTTTTCTTTTTGTGATTATTCCATTAATTTTTGTTTCGATTCAAAATGCATTTTATTGGGTTTATTAATTTTGTTTATATTGGGTTCATTGCAGTTTTATAAAGTTTTGGCTAATGTTTTGTTAAAATTTTCCAATGTTTTATAGAAATTACATTATGTTTTGGCAGACATTCCTGTTACCACGGTGTTCCACGCAAACAGGAATGGCGCCAAACATAAGTCGCCAATTTCGCCAAAGGGCACCCTCAAGTATATTTATACCATATTTTTGTCAGAATTGTTATAAAAAAAATGAGGTGAAAACAATAAAATTAAAAACTATTTACAATAGATCTCTGAATATTCCCAAAACCTAGCTTTGTACATTTTTCATTAATTTTTCTTTTTGCGTCATTTTGTGTATGAATAATTTGCACTTTTATGCATTATTTAAGAAATATCTCAAACAAATATGAACTGTTAATTAATATTTCTGGCTGAACATTTTTTGGAAAGTAAGGAGAAAACAATTAAAAGTAAGTAAAATATATTTACGTCTAAGATATTCATGGAGATCCATTTTATGTAACAAAGATATGAGTATTTTAAAGTAAACTCTGATCAATATATTTCTCACATTCCATACAAATAAAAATCGCAACAAGCTTTAGCTGGTAAGTTTAGTTGTAGCATTTCTGCAGGCAGCATTATTAAAAATTATTACCTTTTCACACACATGCGTTCTCAATTNCCATTTTTTCTGGTGCTTTTTTAAAAGATTTTTGAAAATCGTCGTTTTTGAAATGAAATAATTGATGTTAATCATTGTTTTGCCTTCTCGCATTTAGGAAACTTGTTATAGTTGTTAATGAAAGATAAAAATCTAGAAATTTTCAAATTGAAAGTAACTTTATCCAAAAAACAAAAGAGGGTGCCCATATTTACACCTTTTCCTCTATTATTAACAAAAATTTATATTTATAATTTTATTTCTTTCCCTTCCAGATGAAACCAATCATGCAGTTTCAATTGAAAACATTTTCAATCATAGTTATGATAGTTTTGTCCGGGTCTTTCAAAAAATTGGAATGTTGGGGCACCACATTTTCAGATGTCACATACGAAGAAATCAATGCATTAAATGCAACATGCGGTGGTTTAGACTCCTGTGAACTACCGAGAGATCCCTATTCTCTTGGACACTGCAGCTGTGACAGGTTCTGCAGTTTGTTGGGAACATGCTGCATAGACTCTAGATATAGAGACACATATCCTGAACCTTTAAAAAACGTCGAATGTTTCTACATCCATTTTAGAAAAATGCACCATAATATACCTATGATAAGAAGTTGTGATCCGGATGTGGAAACTGATGAAGCTACCGAGAAACTTTGCAATAGCGATGGTAGAGAATCAAGTGATCCCTTTTTGAGAATACCCGTTACTGATCCAATAACTGGTATTTCATATAAGAACTACTATTGCTTTGCCTGCAACAAAAACTATGGTGGAGAAGAGCCAATACCATGGGATATAGAACTAGTCACTAAAGCTGTACGATTAGACGATTCCTCAATGCGAAAACTGCAATACGACCGAAAAAGGCTGTTATTTGTTCTTAAGGTTAATAATTCAACATCTGTTCCAAGTCTGACTTATGATAATACCCGTGAAACTTGGGTTATGGATCACAATCAGGAGAATGCAACCGATGTCAGATTGCATGCATCTCTTCCGGAAAAGTTGAAAAACGTTACACCTGTTTGTTACAGAATGGTTAAATCGATTGTTTCGGAATGTGCATCGAATTGGACAGATGACACTGTGAAAAAGAAGTGTATGGCTTATATGGCTGTGATTTCCGTCCCGGAAAAAGATAGCTTTCCTCCTACCTACAGACACTATCAAAATCCACATTGCGCCCTTTGCAATTATGAGAGTATGGATGACCTGAGCTGTTACGTAAATGAATATAGAATCTTTTTTCTTCTGGATCATAAAAGAGTTTATTTACTTAGATTATTTTCTCTCCAAGACAGAACAACAAAAACTTGTGCAGACTTTATGGTGTATGATCATTTTTCAAACAAGTGCAGAAGGTTATACAGATCAAAGAGGGGCACTTAAATCATAAATACAGGATGTTCTCCAACTACAGCATTTAACCATCACCTCCTAAATCAGAAAGCCTCCACACGGCATTTTATAAGTAGTCTGCGCAGATTTTTTAAAAAGTGAACCAATTGTGTGCATGAACCCAAATTCTATTTTAAAATTAATTGAGAGCAATGTATCATATATATTTGAGAATTGAGTCTGTAGTGGTTGGCAAGTCAATAAGACAAACCAATCATATTGGCAAATTAAAATTTTTTTATTCAAATATTCGCTACCACTTTTCAATTTTAATAGATTTTTTTATTAAAAGGCTCTTTCGTAAACTAGTTTATCGTCATAGTGGTTTAATCAGACTACCAATTAAAAACCGTTTAGAGGTTTGCAGACACGGGAGGCGTTGATTTGAGCCAACGCCTTCTATAATTGAAAGGAAACAAGTTTATTCTATTGCTAATTAATGTGTTTTTAAACTTGAACGATTGAAACAGCTTGAATTGTTGTCCAAACTATTCTAATCACATCTATTAAATATAAATATCACGACGCATTCTGATTTTAAATATATTTTATATCTTTACTTCCTGAAATAAAAATGTGAAATCAGAATAAAAAGTACTTGTTACTCTGTTTTCACTTACTTTCACTCATGAATGTTTTGGGCAGTACATTTATTTTTAGTTATATATTCATCTACAAACATAACACAAATTTTGAAGTTTTACATGTGGCATTGTCTTCAGACACAAAGATTAAATAGAAATTTGAGTGCATTAGCTAGTTATTTCGATTGCAAAGATTCTAGGTTAGCAGACCAAAAGCAAGTAAATAAGAACTTAGTAAAAATAAGATCTTTAACTCTTATTTTCAAAAATACTACTTAACTAAGTTCTTCTAAGTTTATCAATTATGAATTCATTATTACTTTCAGAAATAATGTGAGATCAAGATATTCTTAGTCCCATTGTTTTAAAATACATGCATGAATTTTTCAACCATCAAACAAAAGATTTTTACAAAATAAATAACTACTACATTTTACTACTAGATATTATTGCTTGAAAAACAAAGCTGTTTTTTTTTTAATTGGCACCTTACTTTTGCGAAATCTATTAGCTTGATTTGATGTCTGATCATCTAATTTCACCAACTACAAATCAAGTAGGTTAGAGATCCATCTCAATAAATATAGTTTTCAATATTCATATACCAAAATATCTTTGCAATATCTTTTCTAAATTTGTTCTAAAAATGCTTTCTACATTTAAAATAATTTTTCCGAATTTAAACTTCAATTGTATTTTTTTCCTCAAGCAAAAAAGTAGCAGACTACAAAATACCTTGAAATAGTAAGATACAAACGATTTGAATGAAATGAAACACGTGATTATGTATTTTTAAATCGCATCTAATGAGACTTTTCCGTCAAATTATACTTTTTCATGAAAACCGGAAGCGATTCCATAGATGAGAATGGCACAGCTTACAAAGATTCAATTTACTCAAATTTTTAGAATAATCATCGTAATAGCTCTTTTAAAAACATATCTTCTTGCAGCCTTGAAAGTAAACTATCTGTCAATGTAATGTGTTTATAATTAAGACTAAAAAAAGTACCCTGTTCGGTTTTAGCAGTTCTATCTTTTCTTCTCCAGTTTTAGGTTCTCTTCAGGTACATTTATGATTTGAGTCGCATTGTGAACAATGTAATATTGAGCGACCTGTTCTAAAAAAAAAGAAGGAAAGATAAGGGGCAACTATATGGATACATCTTAGTGTAAATTTCGCTAATCAAAGTAAGTTTGACTTAGTCATTATTCTTAGTCCTTTTTACTTAGTCATTATTCTTAGAATAAATGTCAACTTCAAGGAATTAACAAAAGTCAGGAATGTTTATTTAAACGGCTTTTATCACCTGTAACACATGGGAAAAATTTTTTGTTGCATTTATACAAATATTTTAATAGCTAATTTGGGTATCTGAAATTCATTTTGCCCCTAATGCTACAGATTTTTTACATGATATTTTTATTCTTTTTTCTGTCCAAATATTCAAGATTAAAATTATGCACCACAGGGGGTCGCACAAAAGGTGTGGCAAACTTTTAGGAGAGTTAAATCGCATGGATTCCTATGCAATTTCGATCCGGATAAAGAAGACCTCTAGACATTTGTTGTAACATTTAAGCGAATATCGCTCGAATTAATCGAATATATTTATATCTATCTTTTATAAATTTGTAAACTTTGAAAAGAAATGGACGAAAAACGTCATTAAATTTTAAAAATTTTTTTGCCGAGAGCATTACCGATTTCTGATTTAAAAACAGAGATGTGAATAGATCTGATATTCTTTAAAAATTTTTATGCCATAAAAAAATACTTGTTCCGGCGTGTAATTAATTGAACAATTAACGATGAACATTATAAATTTTTCACGCAATATAAATTAACAGTACAGTTAATGTATTACCAATTCTCGATTATTTTCAATTACAAATGAAAGGTAAAGTGCTTATAATTGACGAATTATATATTGACGCTGTTTTATTAACGAGAACTCTTAAAGATAATAAAATAAACATGTCTTAATCTTTGCCTCAACTCTACAAGTTGATGAAAGATAAAATAATTACTTTTTTAATATTTTTTGCAATCGATATAAACTTTAAGAGTGAAAAGGTATAGAATGCTTATGTTTACATCTATTAATGATTTTAATCAATTTATTAATTTCCAACTCATATATTAATAGTTTAATTTAACACTTTACCTAATTATATATATTATGAATTCAGGGCTTCTGTTAATTATAATCTTTTTATCCTTAAAATATATAACATAATAGAAGTTCTATGAGTAGCAATATTTAAAATAAGCATCAATTCCTCAAAGAGGAATGAGACTAAAAACATAATCACGTTTAAACATTTTGGAATAACTATCAACTTTTTTGAAACAAGCACGTGAAGCAAGTATTCATTATATTTCCTAGAAATATTAATTTATAGACTATCAATTTATATTATCATGATTAATAGCAAATAGTTTTGAATGCTGCAGCAAATTGCATCTTTATTTCTGTTATTAGGAATAAGATTTAAGTAACTGTATTTTATTTTTCGAAGAATTATGAACTTCAGCAGTAAAATAGTTTTGATCAATTTAGGATACATGAAGAGTTTAGGGGGAAAACTGGCTAAGTAACACTTTAGTGAATTGGAGTAATTGAGCGTTCAAGTATTATGCGTTCCACCTTTTTCTTCGCTCTATCTTAAAGTCATTAATATGCTTGTGACGACAAAACTCACAAAATTTTTGGGGGTTTGTTAATTGGTTTTAGTGCATAGAATTTGCTTGTTTATATGGATGATTTTTAATGTTTTTCATCAAATATAATTTTCTTTGAAAAAATAATATATATATATATTCTGGCTTACATTCATAGAATGTCGACCGGCCTGTGTAGGGGGCAGGGAACTGTCCTTGCATCAGAAAGGTTCTGGGTTCGAATCCCAGGTAAGGCATGGATGTTTCTTTCTCTCTGTGTTCCATGTCCTTTCTCCTTTGTGTGTGATTGTGTGAATGTGACCCGCCCTATAAACGGGTTTGTGGTTGCGTGACGTGGGCGACGCCACACAGGTGCCCAGTGGGTAACGAGAAGAGAGTAGCAGTTCTGGCACTCCTGGCCAATGGGACAATACATTCCAAGTAATCGTCATTAAAAAAAAGAAGGTTGAGTTCTTTTGCGCGGAAGAAGTTAAACTTCGTAACCTGCGACGTTAAGTGTTGAAGAATCAGCAGTCGTAGAAGGATCACTAGTTCTATTCAACGACTCTTTTTCCTGCTCCGCTCACTTGCGTGCTCTGTAATAACGGTAATATTATGCATTTTTCCCTCTTGAACCAGTGGAAGTGCTTGTGGTTGCCTCATCGTCTCGCCCTGGAAAATGTATTTGTATTAATAATGTATGTGAATGCGTCATAATGTAATTTCAAAAGAGAAAACCTAACAATCAATTGCTATTCACAAGAGACGTACCTTGGCATAACCTTAAATCCGTCACATTGTCCGTGGGATAGTTTACACTCATTTTTTACAATTGTTATCCACTATATTTGAAAATAAAAAATTGTACCCTATTAAATTATACTAGGAGGCTCCGCCCACTGCTCGCTAACGCTCTCCAACCCCCGAGAATTGCTACGCAATCCTATGTGGTTCATGCCGTGAACCATGGCTCGCTGCGCTCTCTCGCCAATGAAAACAATGTTCTAGCACA